GCCACAATAAACATGCGAATGCAGGCATCCCTTTGATGTATTGATTTTTTTTCCTTTGGGTAGATATCCTGTGGTGGGATTGCTGGATCAAATGATAATTCTTAGTTTTTTGAGAAATTTGCATACTGGTTTCTATAGTGGCTTTCCTAGTTTACATTCCCACCAACAGTGGGAGTTCTCTCTTCTCTGCATCCTCACTAGGATCTGTTATTTTTTTTGTCTTTGTAACAATAGCCATAGTGACTGGGGTAAGATGATATATCTCATTGTGGTTTTGATTTGTATCTCTCTGATGATTAGTGATGTTGAGTATTTTTTTCATACACCTGTTTACTGTATATCTTCTTTTGATAATTGTCTATTCATGTCCTTTGCCTAATTTTTAATAGGATTTTTTTTTTCCTGTTAAGTGCCTTATGTACTCTGGATATTAGTCCTCTGTCAGATGAATAGTTTGCAGATATTTTTTCCCATTTGGCAGGTTTTCTCTTTGCCCGGTTGATCATTTCTTTTGCTGTGCAGAAGCTTTTAGTTAGTTAAGTCTCATTTGTCTGTTTTTGTGTTTGTTGCCTGTGCTTTTGAGGTCTTGGTCATAAATTATTTGCCTAGATCAATGTCCATAAGAGTTTTCCCTAGGTTTTCTTGTAGTATTCTTATAGTTTCAGGTCTTGAGTTGAAGTCTTGAGTCCATTTTGAGCTGATTTTTATGTGTGGTGAGAGATAGGGGTCCAGTCTCACTCTTCTGCATGTGGCAGGCCAATTCTCTGAGCACCGTTTATTGAAGGGGATTTCCTCTCCCCAGTGTAAGTTCTCATTGACCTTGTCAAAGATCAGCCAGCTGTGAATATGTGACTTTATCTGATTTTGATTTTAATATATAACTTTTTAAAATCTGGGGAAAAAAGAAATACATGATACCCTGGGTAATAATACCAGAGCTGCTGTCATAGTTCAGCAGGTCAGTTCTGTGTCCTTAGTGTCTTCATCCCTTCTGGAGGCCCCTGTCCTTGGCCCTCTCTGGAAAGGCCCTTATTGGTTTCTAACAAATGATGTAGAGGAAGTGTTAAGGCTGGCCTAGCTAACACGACTATAAATCCTCTGTGCTCTAAAACTGCTCATCATTGAAATTATGGAAAACAATCTTCTGTAGCAGCCTGGACTCATCTCTCTCCATACCCAGCTTGGATCCCAGAATTCAGTCAGAGAGCAACCCAAAGTCATGACGCTTGCAGCAGTTTCTGGAAACATCTGTGAGTACCAAGAAAAGAGGATAAAGATTCATCCCATCCACCAGTCACTCCCACGCACCTCTGCCCGCCATCCCCTGTATCCAGGACAACCCCCTTCTGACACCAAAATGCATTTCACCATTGGCTGCTGTCAGTAGATAATACCTGCTCAGCATTTGGGACAAGTTCCAGACATAACTTCCTCTTAGTGAATGATCTGACAGGAGAAGGAATTGAGCTTAATTTATGCCACCTAATAACTTCAGTGCAGCTACTTGGGAAGTTAGCCCTCCAGAGTTTCCCCCAAACTTTTCTCCAGTGAATTACAATACCGTATATTCTCATTACTACCAGCGCTGCTCCCAAAATCTATCTGCTGTTTAATAGTTTTTACCTTTCAAAAATACAAGCTGGCTGGGTGTGGATTTTTGAAAACATTCCTCCTGCCTTGGCCTCTCAAAGTGCTGGGATTAGAGGGTGCCTTCTCATCCCAGCAATCCCAGCACTTGGAGAAGTCGAGCCGGGAGGAATGCTTGAAGCCAGGAGTGTGAGACCAGCCTAGGCAACACAGTGAGACCTTGTCTCTACAAAAATAAAATATAAGAAAATAGCTAAGTGTGGTGATGTGTGCTTGTAGTCACAGCTACTGGGGAGGCTGAGGCAGGAGGACCTCTTGAGCCCAGAAGGTTGAGGCTGCAGTGAGCTAGGATCGCACCACAGCACTCCAGCCTGGTGACAGAGCAAGACCCTGTCTCAAAAAAAAAAAAAAAAAAGAAATCTAAGCCAAGTGTCAAGATGTGTCTAACAGGTACACAGAACCTGGGCAGAGAAATAAGGTGTTTTGGGCTGGTAGAGGGAATATCAGGGTAGCTACTGTGATAGAGGGTAAAGGGAATATCAGGTAGCTACTCCCTGGGCGGTAAAGGGAATATCAGGGTAGCTACTATGGGTGTCACTCCCTGTTCCTTCTTCCAGAGGCCTGGGGCTCTCACATCCACCAAGTTGGCTGCTCACTAGCTGGCGGAAGGCAAGCTAAGCAAACATGGAGAAGGGGGGCCAGATGCAGCCTTTGCCTTCCACCCCAGTCCGTCTTTGACTAATGAGGTGTTAAGCTGAGCCAGGAGCCAAGTTAATTCTAGTGGTAATCCATTTCCTGCTGCTTTTATTCAGCCAGCACCATTCATCAGAAGGAGAGGAGAGCCCCTGGGACCTTCTGAATCATCCCAGTATCTTGAAGAAAGGGAAGGGAACGGGCAGCAGGGGTCCACCCACCCCTTATTATAGATGCTGAAAGAACAGAAATATGTCAGGACTTGGTGACAGAAATGTCTGCAGACACATCCTGATGCCATCCTGCTGGTGCCCCTACCCTAAGCCCTGACTGGCAGCAGGTTCTCCCTCACCAGGTAGGCTTTGCTACGAAAAGATGATTTTGCTTGTTAGATGGAGGATGCATATTGAGGCCATCCACGCCTCTGCTGCAAAATCCTTTAGGAGAAAGACAACTGGTATCCAATATCTTCGAGTAATGAACTTATCAGTAAATATAACACATGAGCTCATTAATCTTAACTTTGCTTTTGGACCAAGTGGGAGCTTGGCTTCTCAGGAGACAAAAATTTCATCTCTGTTCTTTTCCTTAAACCCAATCCCAATTTAGAGTCAAACATATTGCCCTGCTCTCCCTGGGAAGCAGTTAATAATGTGTTTTCTCACACAATGGATGGCCCAAGCTCAGCTGGGTCACTCCCAGCCCCCCAGGCTGTGTACATGTCCCCTGCACACAGCCTGGGCTCCAGGCTTCCTAGTAGGGTGTGAGCACCGGCTACATCCTTGAGGCTGGTTGGTCCCCAGCCATTGAGGACACCACACACTCTCCTTCCTTCAGGCTGAGGAATATAGGTGAAGTTAATCTTAGAAGTTAAGGCTATTGAATATTAATCTTAAATCTTAAGGCTGTTGAAACTGTTGTTCATCCTGGCCACTTCTTCCTTGCTTGGGCGCTTGCTGCTCTTCTAAAAGCACAGCCTCTCCATCTCTGAAAAGAAGTTGATGTGAGGAGGGATGAGTCAGTTTGCAAGGGCTGTTCTTTATGGCCTGGATGAGGGCTTAAAAGAAAGAAGTCTGAAAAGAGCTGCCGTTGGCTTGGAAAACAAGTGAGGAGAGTGTTTGCCTGGGCAGGCTGCTGTGGGATGCCTGCTGCAGACAGGGGGAGCAGGTTTAGGAATGGATCTGGACTCACCCAGAAGCTTGCTCCTGTGAACCTGATCTAGGCTCACGGGGCCTAGAGGTGTGGTGAGTTAATGCTGATGGGATAAGAAGGTGGTGAGGAGCCAGCCAGCACTGGCAGGTGTCTTCCTAGCCCTGATCTTGTTCTCCCCAGTGTTCCTGAAAGAGACAGCCGGCAGACCCTGGGGACCTCAGACGTCTGTGCTCCACATGCATATCAGCCGCTCTAGAAATTGCCTGGGAAGCGGGAGGGAATGGGTGACACCCTGGTGCAGCTGTGCACCCTGTGTTCTCTGAGCCTGGCTCCTGGCTCCCTGCAGCCCTCCCCTCCTTGTTCCCGGCCCAGAGTGACGTTACCTGTACCAGCTCCCTGCTTGGTAGGCCTCTTGATCTTTCATCACTGGTCTTTTTCTCTTATTTACCAGACCAGTGTCTCCTTCGGATTTCTCTGCTTCAAAAAGAGCCTTGCAGCATCGTGCACTTCTGGGAAGGAAGGACAGTTGGGAGGCCCTGAGTGTGGGGATCTCAACCTTGCCCACCTACCTGGTGAAGTTAGAAGTATCAGGTTCTGGCCGGGCACGGTGGCTCATGCCTGTAATCCCAGCACTTTGGGAGGCCGAGGCAGGCAGATCACAAGGTCAGGAGATCGAGACCATCCTGGCCAACACGGTGAAACCCCGTCTCTACTAAAAATACAAAAAATTAGCCGGGCGTGGTGGCCGGCGCCTGTAGTCTCAGCTGCTCAGGAGACTGAGGCAGGAGAATGGCGTGAAACCCGGGAGGCAGAGGTTGCAGTGAGCCGAGATCACTGCACTCCAGCCTGGGTGACAGAGCAAGACTCCATCTCAAAAAAAAAAAAAAAAAAAAAAAAAGAAGTCTCAGGTTCCTTGGAGATGGCAATTCGAGCCCAGCATTGCTGTCCTTTCCTCTGTTTCTATCTAATACCTTTTCTAGCACTAGAAATAATCCACTTTCCTTTGAGAGCCCCCACTCATTTGTGGATTGTGGTTTGATCACTCCCACCATCCTCTCTAGCCCCGGCTGTACAGGAGGTGGAATGTCATTTAAGACATAATCATTTCTCCTGCCTCCTAGAAATGGTGGGCATCCTGTGGTGGAAATCACAGTTTTCCTGAGCCAAGCAAAGTGCTGAGCTGACAGCCTGTGCTCTTCCGCCTGCGTGGTGCTGGCGGGGGCGCAGAGCCCACTCATTTCCAAGGAGAGGGCTGTGTCTCACTGCAGCCATCAACTTAGGGTTCTACCCTCAAGGGTCCAGGCAGGGGCAGCCTCTGAGCAGCCACAGCTTGTGAGTTCGGAGGGCATCAGACGGGCTTGAGCAGCTGTGGAATGCGAAGTGCTGACCCTCTTGCTACAGGGTGTGGGTGTTGGAGTGAGCTCTCTGCTGCATCAGGAACCCCTGCAGTGACTGTTGTCCACCCACTGGGATGCCCTTCCATCCTCTGGACAAAGGCAATAGTGAGGCTCTGTGCACTTGGAGGCCACCCTAATACTCTGTTTCCTCTGCTTCTCCCACTGCTGCAGGTTATGTGTTCTGTATGTTACATCGCCTTCCCGAGCAGCACGACTGCACATTTGACCACATGGGCCGCGGCCGGGAGGAAGCCATCATGAAAATGGTGAAGCTGGACCGGAAAGTGGGGCGCTCCTGCCAGCGCATCGGGGAGGGGTGCTCCTGAAGGCCAGGCATGGCCACCACATGACGCTGTTCTTAGTTCACTAATGTTAGCCTTATTTAGGACAAAGTCAGCCAGACACCTTGTACTGGGCACGCGTCAGACTGCAGCCAGTCCGTTTCCTTTCTTTAGCCAGCCATCCTGGTACTGTAGTTTAGGGGTTGATGGTGGTTGAAATTGATTTCTGGCTGGTTACTAAGGTGCCTGCTAGCCATTGTATAAAATTAAAACATGAAGAATATTTTTTTTTGAGCATGGCTAGTGGATTTAAAACAACACATACCTGTCACTGCTGGAGTCAAACTTATAAAAAGCCTTAAGTGGAAAGTGTTCCAGACGGAGACTCTGAGTTAATAGAGGAGTAGAAGCTGGTGTTAAAGTTCCCACGACGCACATGGCTTTGCCAGAAACTCTGTTTAATGTTCGGCCTTTCACCTCTTCACTTATCCTTAGTCCCAGTAGCCAGGATACCTGATGGCCATGTGTGCCTTGGCCACAGGAGGCTGCTGAGATTGGCCACATGGCTGGGCTGGGTGGTGGCCTCACTCTCCCACAGAGCTGGAAATGGGGGGTGGGGGACAGATTCTTATGGAAATTTTTTTACCTGACTTGCTATGAAAAAACTCATCACACAAGAAGAGAAACAGTAACCTCACTTTGAAAATTAGTTCCACTCAAGACTAGTCCACGAACGAGACCCGCCTTTTCTACACAGGATCCAAGGCCACGAGAAGCAGCCAGAGTGCCCTGTCCCCGCCGGCTCTGGTCTGCCATTCGCCAGTGCAGGGATCTGGCACGGACCAGATGCGGCAAATGGCAGCACAGTGCGGTGGCCGGGTCTGCACACTGGCCTCTGCAGCCAGATTTCTATATTGGGAGTTTTTTAAAAAGACATTTCATAGCCAACAAGAATCAGTAGAAGTGCTGGGAGCAGCTAGGGAAGCTGCCGCCCACGGGCTCTGCCCCTTCCAGCTGGAGCCGCCCTTTCCTCCAGGGGCCAAGAGGATGATGCCGTGGCCTCCATTCTCGTTTCTATGCAGCCCCATAGTCCAAGGACACCCAGTCCACATCTACCACATAGCAAGTTTAGTGAGGGAAGGCAGCATACGTCCCAGGGACAGTGGGTTTGGATCTGTCTAGAACAGCGGTTTGTGGCTGTGGCCCAGCTCCGAGAGTGGTATTTGCTCTGGTGGGTGAGGGCCTGAGGGTGCATTTCTCCACCTGTGCCCCCTCATGTTCACAGAGGAGTTCAGTAGCTGCAGCTGCTCAGGCCAGGTGGGGAAGGGTGGGGGTGGGCCTCATTGCCCCATGTTGGGAAATCACTACCAGTCAGGTGGGGCTGGGGCTGGGGCTGGGGCTGGGGCTGGGTGGACAGGATCAGGATTTTCTTGAAAGCCCAGGCAGGGTGAGCGGTCCCAGTGGTTCTAGGTCCGCATCTGATCCAGGTGGGTGAGGGCAGGAGACCCCTGCAGAGGCAGCGTGGATCTGCCCACACATAGGCTACTGGAATAGTTTAACCCAGCAACTTTCCTTTTATAAAACAACAAATGGTTCAACTCTGTCTGCAAATTAACAGCTGAACACCTGCAACTGCAAATATTTTTTTGATCCGACGTACTGAAATAGGAAGTCATGCTCTTCCCACCCTCCACCCACCAGAGTGGAACCCGCTGCAAAATCCCCAGCCTTAATTCTTGCTTCAGGACCCAGACCGGTGTCTTGCTCTAGGGCAGCCCAGGGCAGAGGGGCCAGGTCTGCCCAGCGTTTACCACTGCTGTCAAGCCACAGCCCTTGGCCACCATATGGGCCATCCTCAGTGAGGCAGCCCCGCCTAGGCCTCCGCCAAGCTCTGGTCCCGAAGAGGCTGTGCGCTCCCTTCCCGGCTGTCCCCAGGCCCTGCCCACTGCCTGCTGCGTGGAGGCAGCCGTGGGAAGGAGCCCTGGGGAGCCGGCCCAGGGGAGCGAAGCCCATGTTCGCTTCCTGACTTAGAGCTGGGGGGGTGGGGGGTGGGGCTTGTTCCCCTGCAGTATCTGTTCTGTGAAGTTTGTTAAATGTAAGGAAAGCTTAAATTCTTGTATCTTTAAAAGAGAAAATCTTATTTAACCCTTTTGTGTTCTAGATTTACTTACACACATAGCCTAGAGCTCAGTTTTAGTTTTAACATTGTGAAAATATTAAAAGAATCTTGTAACTTTATTCTTTTTTCTCCTGCTGAAAAAAAAAAATTAAACCAATCGTATGAAAGTTTCGCTTCCTTGTTTCACCCATTCTCCTAAGTGCCCCCTGGGTTGCTGGGAAAACTGACCCATCTCCCTGGCCAGGGCTGGAAAGAGATGGGGGCCTTGTGTGCAGAGTCCGTCTGCAGTACTTGGGGGCACTCGTCCGGTTAGTGTCCAGGCTAAACAGCCACTTCCTTGCTTTTTGTTGGGGGCCTCTGCCCTGGGCAGCTGCGGGGCTGGCCTTGGGGTAAAGGTGGGTCTGCAGGGCCAAGCCTGTGCCAGCAGCCAGGAGGTTACACACTGGGGGAGATGAGAAAATGAGCCCCAGCCCTGAGGGCCCCAGGCGTGAGTGGAGCGGGTGCTGAGTCTTGAGGGAAGGCAGCATGCCCTAGACCTGAACCCCACCCTAGGAACGGCCTCCAGGATGGATGACGAAGGCTCCCAAAGGCTGGCTTGGAGGGAGGTGTGTGCTGTGGCACTCTTTAGTGTATAGGATGAACTTACTACATTTTTAAATGTTTAAAAAGCATTTGGTAGGATGGGCGCAGTGGGTCACGCCTGTAATCCCAGCACTTTGGGAGACAGAGGTGGGCGGATCACGAGGTCAGGAGATCAAGACCATGGTGAAACCCCATCTCTACTAAAAATACAAAAAGTTAGCCGGTGTGGTGACAGGCGCCTGCAGTCCCAGCTACTCGGGAGGCTGAGGCCAGACAATGGCATGAACCCAGGTGGCAGAGCTTGCAGTGAGCGGAGATCACACCACTGCACTCCAGCCTGGGGCGACAGAGCGAGACTCCCTCTGAAAAAAGAAAAAAACAAAAAACATTTGGCAGGTCAGGGCCGAGGCCCAGGGGTGGGAACTGTCCCCACTACTTTTAGGACAGAGATATTGACCGCATAGTTGTCATGAAAGTGCCTGGTGGTGGTGAACAAGCATATGGGCAAAGGGCAAGAGAGGGCCTTGGTGGCCCGGGTGTGAGGCAGGCCTGCAGGGAGCAGTGGGCTGTGCTCTGCCCACTGGTCCGCAGGAACTGGGTCTGCGTCAGCTCCCTCCTGATTGCTTCACAGAGGATTTTATGCCAACAAAAATCCACAGCAAGAAGAGGGGATGGTGGGAAGACAAGAGAAACCTTCCTGCTGGGTGATGGGAGAAACAGGAAACCATGGGTGGGAGGGGGCCGTGGTCTTCAAGGGAGCCATCAGCAGCACATTCAGGGAGCTGTGAGCAGCCCCTCTAGCCCCAAGAAGAGGGTCTCCAGGAGAGAGGGTCCCACAAACACCCAAGAGAGGCCTGCAGGAGTCTCAAAAACTGGCTTCCTCTGCAGCCATTCTCACAACTACGTGTGGGAAGGCTCCAGGGAGGGGAGGGAGGAGCGACTGGAGAAAGACATGGAGCCTTGGGACCCGGGGCGGACTCGGGGGAGACTCAGCACAGCTCTAGGCCTGCAAGGTGGCCCCATGTCTTGTGAGCACTGGGTCCTGTCAGAGGGCTTGGAGAAGGTCTAAGAATCAGAGATAGATACAGATAATTAAATAATAACAGTGTATTAATGCCTACCAGAAATACGCAGGAAGAGGAGCCGCAGACCCTGCATGACTCAGCTGTGAATAATATTTACATACAAATAATGTGAACACAAATACTAGTGAATATTGCTCTGGTAAATATGTACGCTGGATCTCAGTGGGAGACTGGGAGAGGGAAAGAATGTGCCTGTGTATTGGTGGCAGAGGGTAAGACAGCCAAGTTCTTGTTCTTAGCAGGAAGTCAACAAAGGATGTCCAAAGCTGAAAGCTTGACAGTAGTGTGTTGTTTAGAAATACGGAGGTAAAAGAGGAAGAAAAAGCTTAAAGTTCATATTGGTTTTCTTTGGGATAGGAGATAGGAATACAGTAGGCCTTATATTTATGACTACAGTTATACGTGTAACATTGATTGAAAAATTGAAACGCTTAATAAGGGAATGATGGAAGCCCTTCCTGGGAATTGAGGGGCAAAGTCTTCAGAAACCCGCCTCACTGTTCTCGGAAAGTGGGTTTCAGGGAGTTCAGGTCTCTGAGATGCAACATAGAGTGTTGGTTTTGATCAGAGCTGCTGTGGAAGACGCAGGCAGCTGGCACATCACAGCACAGCACATGTTTAAGACTCCCGAAGGCTGAGGGCGGTGGCTCGAGCTTATAATCCCAGCACTTTGGGAGGCCAAGGTGGGAGGATCCCTCGAGTCCAGGAGTTCAAGACCAGGCCACGTGGTGAGACCTCATCTGTACGAAAAAATACATATTTTTTTCCTTTTCAAACCCTGCATGTGGCATGTGATGCAAAAAAATTTTTTTAAATCACTACGGGGAGGGGGTGGTGGTACATGCCTGATAGTCCCAGCTACTCGGGAGGTGGAGGTAGGAGGATCGCTTGAGCCCGGGAGTTGGAGGCTGCAGTGAGCTAGGATTGGGCCACTGCACTCCAGCGTGGGCAACAGCCTGAGAGCCCACATCTAAACATATATATATATATGTATATTTGTTCTTTTTTTAAATTTAAAAACCCTGGGAAAGGTGGCTCTGGCAACACCAAGCTTATTTGTTACCAAGAAACCTTTTCTTAATCAGCACACCTTGGGAAAAGTTACCCTGGTTCATTGAGCACCTACTGTGTGCCAAACACCCGAACAACTCTCCCTCGATCCCATGTGATTCCACTTGGAGGCACCTAGAGCAGTCAGATTCACTCCCTTCATCAGGTCAGCCCGGAAGCTCCTGTCTCCAGGCTTCTGTGGTATGACGTCCAGCAACCCAGATGTCTGGCTGGGCGGATGCATGGAACGTCACCTTGCCCTTGGCTTAAGTGCTGCGTCCAAATTCACACAGAAACAGAAGAGTGTTTCCTGCCTGTCACTGGAGAGTCTGGGATGGAAAAAGTGCCTGGAGCAGGAGGGTGGGCGACACCGAGTACGTGCTGGGCCCAGGCCTGGCCCTCCCACTGCACACCCTCTGGGGCATCACACAGGGTTAGGTGATCGAATTGTTGACAAATGAGAGCCCCCCAGACCCGGGACCTAATAAAAGGCCTTTTGAGTTTTTGACCTGGAAGGACCCCACACCTAGGGCTCCCCTCCTGGCCGCCTCTTCCAGGCAGCCCCACCAATCCTTGCAGTGAGGAGTGTAGCTGAAGGGGCCTGGGGGACACGTCACAGGGTTCGATGGGAGAACTCGCTGACAGGGAGTGTCTCTGGAGTCCTCAGGCCCACGCCCACCAAGCACCAGGAGGAGCTGAAGAGGAGGGAGTCCCAAACTAGGAGGAGAGGGATCCGCTCTGTGTGACAAGGTCCCCAAGTTTGAGGGTGGGGTGGGGACCAAGACATAGACCCCGAGGTAAAGCTCTGGGTCTGCACTGTGGGAGGCCCATTAGGGGCATCTTCCAGCCCACAGCCCACTGGCTAGGGTGACCTTCATTCAACACCTGCTATATGCCAGGCTGCGTCCTAGGCACTGGGGATATGGTGGTGACCCAAACTACAGCCTACAGCCAGAGAGCACAAAATAAGGGCAGTGCAAAGAATATTAGGGGGGTGACAGGCATACACGGTACGCAGCAGGAAGGGAGCAGGGAGAGAAGCATAGGGTCTGAGGGCCTTTCTCTGTGATGGGCGTGGAGGGCCCTGCCTGCCGCCTGGGGGTTCAGTCAGGCTGCCACTGTGCCAGGAACAGCCTGCAGGGAGCAAGGGAGGACGCAGACCAGAGGACCGGCTGGCTGGTTCGAGAGACCAGCAGGAAGGTTCAGTGCAGGGAGGTGGCGAGAAGAGCCGCATCCTGGACTGATTTTTGAGGGTGGAGATAGCAGGAGTCACTGACAGGCTGGGTGTGGGTGAGAGAAGAGAGGAACTGTAGGCAATTTCTAGTTTGGAGTGTGAGCCACTGGAAAGACAGATATGCCGTTAATGAATGACGGGCAGGCATGTGAAGGGGGTGGGATGAGAGCAGACTGCTGAGGTGTAGACAAGACACCCAGCTAGAAGAGGGGGGTGTGTGTGTGTGTGTGTGTGTGTGTGTGTCTGTGTGTGTGTCTGTGTCTGTGTGTGTGTGTGTGTCACAGTTCCAGGGCTCAGTGGAGAGGTCCTGGCTGGAGATGGGCATTTTTTCCCCAATAATTTTTATGGTAGTAAAACATACAGAACATGCAGTTTGCCATCTGAACCATCTTTAAGTATACAGTTTAGTATTATTCAGTCTCATAGTGTGGTGCAACCATCGCCCGTGTCCACCTCCAGAACTGGAAGGAGAATCACATAGTACTCGTCTGTCTGTGTCTGGCTGATTTCACCCAACACGATGTCCTCCGGGCTCATCCACGTGGTAGATGTGTCCGTGTCCGTCTTAAGGCGGACGCTCCTGCCCCGTATGATGGAACACACGTGCTTGCCCAGCCCTCTGTCAGTGGGCACTGGGACTGCTTCCGTATGGTGGTTACTGTGAATGAGGCTGCTGTGGATGTCGGTGTACAAATGAGATACAGAGTTTCGAGTGACCTGCATACAGCTAGTATTTAAAGCCACAAGCTGGGCCAAGGACACCAAAGAAGGGAGTGTAAATGTAGAAGAGACGGATGGAGGCTGTGCCTGGGGACGCCATCCAGGGAGCTGGAAGAACCTGCAGAGGAGACTGAGAAGGAGCTGCCAGCAAAGCAGGAAGAGACAGAAAGACGGAAGTCCCAGAAGCCAGGCGGGAAAGGAGCACTTCAAGGAGCAGGGAGTGGCCACTTCCGTGAGCTGCCGGTCAGGCCCCAACCGTCCCGGCGCTGGGGACCGATTCCTGGGGAGGGAGACTGGGAAGGCCGCCCAGCTGGACCTCTTCTTTAAGCAGTTTTGCTACAATGGAAGCAAACGGGCAGGAGAGTGGATGTGGGGGCGAGGGAGTTTATTTTTGAATAAGGAGAAGTCGCTGCATGTTTTGATACTGTTGGAATGATCCCGTAGCGAGGGGGAAATTTGGGATCGATGCCATGATGGGGCGTAGAGCGCAGGGTGGCAGGTGTGGGCACAGGCCCAGCAAGCGGGAGTGGGATCCTTCTGCTCTGTGTTCTCAGGGACATACGGAGCAGGGTCGCAAGGAGTGAGTGAGGTTGGGTGAGGGGGTAGCAACAGTTTGGTGGGGCACTGGCGTGGATTTACCGGGAGACAAAGCCTTAGCTTGAGGCCCCTCACTCGCGATTGGGCCTCGGCAATGTGTTTGCATGCTCCCAAGATTTTATAACATTTGCAGAAGTGAGATACTTGAACTGCAGTTGGTTAAAACTGTTCCCTCCTTCCATTCTAACTTCCCTTCCTTCATACTTCCTTTTCTGTTGGGTGATGTCGAGGCCATATGGTACTTTTGGGATCTGGCTAAGGGTAAGCAGAGTTAGGGACACGATTCGTTTGAGGTTAGTGGGATACACTTGTGCGGTTCACAGTCACTTCTGCATTTAGTAGGTCATTGCCAGTCATCCTGGGGTCATCCTGGGGTAGGGCTGGCTTCAAGAACATGCTTCTTGTCCGCGCCTGACACCTGGTGTCGTAACCAGAAGGAGCAAGGCCACGGTTGTATTGTGCTAGGAACGTGTCCTT